GACAATAGGGAGTTACAATTGGGTTTCTTCCATTTCGGGGATCTGCAGTCAGCATTCTCCGGTCTTCGCCTCTCCTGCAAGTACGCAGTGAGGCTGCTAGAATGTCCTCACAAAGATACCCTGCAGAGCAACCCTGTAATGTAACCAACTTTTATCAGGATATATGATCTCATTTGCCGGCTCGGAACCTTCGGGGCACTGCCTCCATCATCGTGCTGACCTATTTCGCACAGAGGAGAAATCTTGATCAAGAGATGAGGTCGAGGAAAAGTATAAGAAGGAGCTATGAACCTCCACTTCATCCTCATCTTCAAACCCCAACTACCTCTCATAGAAGGTAAACATCACTCAAAGTAAATCTATTTCATCTTATCTTGAACCAGGTGTCCTCGACCTCAAACAAGATGCAGCTCAAGAGCCTCCTCTTTTCACTTCCTTTCCTCTCGGCCATCTCTGCCACTCCTGCGCCGGTGCCTGCACCGGTTCCGGCTGCCGTACCTATCGGATATGGCCAACAGCTCCAGAACGGCGACCAAGCCAACCACTGGGTTGTCTGGATCGAGGGCCAATCCGCTTGCCCTAAGAGCATCACTCTGAGCAGGCTCACCGATAGCCCATGCAACATCAACTTTCACTTCAACGGTGCCACTTACCACCTTGCCGACTGTGGCAGCGACAATGAGCCGCGCCGTGTTGTCCAGAACGGCGGTGGCTCCAAGAGCTGCTCACGCGATAACCGAAAGATTACCTGCCATGGAAACACCCACGACATTGTGAAGCACGGAAAGTGCACTTAAGTCCTTGAGGAGGTGAATAGGAGGGGAAGCATAAAGCGATTGGTCATGTCTTTAGCCCTCTGTCATACTATGTGTCGATAGCTTCCAGGCATAGGTTGCTTCGGAATGGAATTGATGAATTGATGAAGTGTGTTTTCAAATGGTTTGGCCCGATACTATAAGACGTAAGTGTCAGTGGTAAGTCGTAGGTTACCAACAAAATGTGATAAGGAAGATAGCGATATCGGCATCTTCATCTTCGCTATACATTGTCAATAGTCAATACACATTAATGTAGTGACGTTCGTGGAGACTATTAGATCGGTCACGGGAACTTCTTATTAGCGTCGAGTGTGACCGCCCCCGAACCAGTGGGCTTGAGACCCTGAGGTTAGAAGATCAGGCGAATAGCTAACCCTTATTTGGCTCTTCTATCCCCTCAATAGCCATACAACCAATGTTAGCCTTATCATCATTACTTGCCAAAAAGCTCTAGGCGAAATCCCAAGCCAGAACCCATTTCCCACATTTTTGCCAAGCCGGTTGAAACGACTCGAATTCAGAATTTGAACTAGGTACGGCGGATTAAGTTGAGCTTGCGGACAAAATGAATATTTGAATTAAAGCCACAACCTAAACGCGCGCTAATAAGATACAGTTGTATAGATAGATAAGCCAGAACCCCTCCCTTCGCTCGGGTGGCTTGTTTTAAATAATATATTCAGTATATACTGTAGAAGATTATTATATCTCATATTTTAAATATAAAAAAGTAAATTAAGTCAAATAATATTAAGAATATTAGACTGGTTCTAGTGATATAAAACATTTAGTAATCTATTGGAAATTAGTCTATATCTTAAACTACAAATCAGCTTGAAATCGAGCTCAAAGTCCGAAGCGTGATACAATGGCCGACTGATGTCGTCAACCAGGTGTTTGATGGGTATCGGGACGAATTGGTGGTGGAGAATGAGCTTTCTGATCTTTTAGGTCCATCCTAGGTAATCGGTTGGTTTCTTTGGGGGAACAATCGATACACACCCACATCCCAGACAACCGCCTACACGAATAGGTAATTCCCTGGCAGAATACAACACTTGTCAGACCTCTTGAACAAGATCAGCAACTACAGAATTCTGATTTATAGAGGAAGTTTATGTGCTAGAAACTCACAAAACCAAACTTATTCCATTTCTAATTACGAGAGAAATACAGGAAAACCCCCCTCCAAGCACTGTATAACTATTAAGAATAAGTCGTAGATCGGGGGCTCGGGGCAATTAACTACGAAATAACGGAGATTGAGCTCCGTAAAACGACCAGGCAGGGGCCTTTCGGGCCTGCTATTATAACGTATTTCACTACCGAGCGCCGCACACCACCGAGCGCCGCACCTCTACTCGATTTCCACTATTCAAGGGCTTTTATCAACCAAGCAATTGCATTCCTTTATAAAAACTAATTACTAAGTGGAACAGGACATCTAACCCTAGTATGTCCCCGAATATGGCAATTAGAACACTGCGGGGGGGCTCGTACGCGTGGTCCAACTGCAGAAAGTGCTGGATCTATAGAAAGCGCATCTTGACCTTCATCAACCTCATTCTCGCGCTGGAATCGCTCTAGGCCCTCCTCTATAGCTGATCCCTCTGGAATAGCTAGCTGCTTATTAGAGCGCTTTCGCTTTTGACCTTTCCATTCATTTTCAGCGCGATATTTATGTATTTCGTCCCGCGCAAGAACAAGCTCATTAAGTGTTAATTCATGACCTTTAATAATCTTGTCTAATCGCGCTTCTAGTAAAGGTAAAGGACTCTGAGCACGTTCTCTAAGCAGTTTTCTTGCTGCAGATGCTTGTTTCTCCAGCTGTCTAGTAGTATAGGGCGTTTTAGGCGCTGAATTGGTTGACCGACTGTCTGGTGGTGTAGGAGTCTTTAATCGAACATTTAACTCGCTAAGCACTCTATCCGGATTAAATGGAACTAGACCAGTGCCTGCGAAGCTATTCTGAATATTTTCTGCTGTAAAGGCGCTTTGGCGAGCCTCTGCAAAGATCTTTAGAAAATCAAGCTTATCAATATAATTGATTCCAAGCTTAGCTTTCTCTGCCACTAAACTCCCGTACGCGCCTTTTAGAGACCGAAAACAGCCTACATCTAAAGGCTGGAGCTTGTTGGAAGAATGCGCAGGCATACAGATAGGAATAATATTATTCTCACTGCAGATTTAGTCAAATTGAGGCGTAAGATGGCTGCCATGGCCGTCAAGAACTAGAAGACGGTATTTCCCAGTTGTACAACTAGTAGTTACAGGAATAAAGAGATTTTTAAGCCAGCGAAGGCCTATCTCATCAGTAGTCCATCCATTAGGACTAACTTCAATCCTGCTACCGGGTGGAAGCTTTGGATCTTGATACCAGCCCTCTATATAGACCTTCCCTTTAAAGATAATACAGGGAGAAAGCGCCCAACCAGTAGAGTTAATACACTCAATTAAAGTAATCCATTCCCGATTGCCTGGCTGTACAAAAAAGGCCTTTCCATAGTAATCAGCTCTAGTAACTACTTGTGCAGTAGCTACTAGACCCATAGCAAAGCCAGTTTCGTCAAAATTATAAATATCCTCCTGTGCAATCCCATGTTGCATTATAGTGATTTGTACGCGGTCAAACCACTCCCTAATAACTTTAGGGTCTTCACATTTAGCACGTCGATAATCGTAGCGTCGATTATATCGGGTTTTTAGTTCATTACGTCGTTTAATAAACTTAGAGACCCAATTCTCTCCAACTGTCTAAATAGGCGTCATACCGCGCGCAGCAAGAAGAATATCAGCCATTTCTTGTATATAGGACGGTCGAGGAGGCGCTCCACGTTGATCTAGTGATAGAATCCATTGTACAAGCGATTCCTCTTCATTTTGGGTCATTTTATGACAGTTGGCGCGTGTTTCTAAGCGTGAAGTTATTCCATTAAGTCGGCGGCGCAGAGTTCTTTCAGAGACATTATAAACACGAGCCGCTTCACGAATACTGCAAATTTGCTGCTTTTCTAAAGCAGAAACTGCTAATAGTATCCTCCCCTCTTTCTCAACTAGATCTCTTGAATTTTGACGCGCTTTTGGAGGCATGATGGGTGGTTGAATAAAGGAAGGCAAGACGACGCGTAGATTTTTGATGAGGTGCGGCGCTCGGTGGTGTGCGGCGCTCGGTAGTGAAATACGTTAGTTAATTACCTATTTAGGTAAGCGGTTAAATAAAGGCGGTGTATTAATGTTGTGTATGGAACGATTTAGGGTGTGCATCGGTTGATGTCATTTCTCGCTGTTGGTCTCGAGGGAGGTGTTCTGATTCTCAGATCAAGATATAGGGTAGATCAAGTCGATTGATCGCCCCGTACGATAGGAAGCACAGGCAAAAAAGAAAAAAAGATAAGGATATCGGCCCGAACCGCGATTCGAACGCGGGACCTCTCCCAGATAGAACCGTATAAGCCAGCCCGCTAGTTACACATTAGTATGCATATATATGGATGATTTTATTTAATGGGATGAACTCACAAGGGAGAATCATACCACTAGACCATCCGGGCAGATTATGTAAACTTGCCACACTGCAGCGAGATGTGATGCCCATTTTGCAAGGCTGGGGAGGATACGTTAGGTAAGAAGGGCTATAGACTTGATTAAGTCAGGATTTGCTGTTCTATTAGAACACACCGGACACCGAATGGTGCACTGTCACCAAGTCAAGAGAACCTTGGGAGGAAAAAGCGTGCTAAGGGTTCTTCTATGTTCAGGATTCTACCTTAGATGGTGTGGTATCGTATTCAGGTTGTATAGGGTTTATAATCTCCCCGAAAGCCTATGATCACGACTATAGCTTCAATCCCGAATTAATGGTGTACTCTTAAAATTTAAAAAGCGGTTAAATAGCGAGGTCCCTTTCCAAAAATAAACCTTGAAAAACAAGATTCAGCCATGTATACACACCCACCTACTTTATATTCTGCTTGAAATTCCATTTATCTATGTAACAGATTTTCTACCCTAAGAAGATCTGTTACAAACCGGCTGCATATATGTATTTACAATGACAACCAAAGTGAGAGTGAAGTGACCATTCAATATGTTGTCCCCATTTGTCTAAGGGTGAAAGAAATGTCCAGCTAGCTTTCTTTATAACATAAGAAAAGCAGCGTCGAAAAGCAAAAAAAAATTGGAGGCCCGAACCGCGATTCGAACGCGGGACCTCTCCCAAATTGTACTGTAATAGCCAGCCCGCTAGTTACATATTAGTATGTATATATGGATGATTTTTATTAATGGGATAACTCACAAGGGAGAATCATACCACTAGACCATCCGGGCTCTTGGGTGACAGTTATATAACCAGTTAAGACCTAAGAAAAGAATAACCAAAATTGAAAATATTTTCTAAAACACAGGAAATAGCTCAATAGTCTCCTTAATCTAGCATATTAATTGAGAATTCTCATCTAGTAATTGTGAAACAGATGCACACCATGGATGTAGTTAAAAACTTCGAACGCTGCATCTGTAACGAAACATATTTCTGCTTTCGACCATGAAATATATCAAATCACGAACACCACTAGTTGCTGTCCCTTTGATACAAACTGATACTAGGATCATCGTTAAATAAGAGATGGTTGTCATCAAAAACCACTACTCAGGCGCCGCTATTTATACTAGGTTGTACCATAGGATCATTCCTAATGTACTCGGATCCCATTCGGAGGCTCGAGCATAGTGCTGATAAGGGAATTGTTCAACTGCTGGCAAGGATACTTATTCATAGGAGATTTACTAGACAGTCAAAATCAGTATTTATTGCCTCAATAGAAGATATCAACCAGGGTCAAATGACCACAGTCACAATACAACCAAGCAAAACAAGTAACATTCTCGATCGATCAAACAAAAAGGCAAAGAGAGAAGATCAGACACAGCAATGAAAGAAAAGACAAAGATTGAACACCATCCATCCATACGCTGAATATTTTTATAAGAGAGGAGACAAGATAGCCACTTCACAACCCATGATGTAGCTTCAATTCGCTATCATAGACCCCAATCGATCCGCCGACCGGTTCATGCAGGGTATGTGTCTCTGTTCTTGGAGGTTTCCGTCAGAATTTCCTAGGGGTCCGGTTCCGTGCTGGTTTGGCTGAAATTCCTATTCCAGGTTTTAGCCAGAGACGCTTGTTATGGCGCCCGTTAAGCAGAGTTTAGATGTACAGTGATGACAGGTGAGGTAGGGTCCAAAAGAGCAGTTAGATATAGGCAAGAGGCGAGCAAAGGGAGGACGTCAAACGTATTATAGGTATTTCTTGAGATTCCCGGTTTCAATGCTCGATCCCAAGATCGAAGGACTGGACACATAAAGAGATGAAAGTACTAGCAGAGTAACTTGAAAACCAAGGAAATGGGAAGAACGCAGGTAAGACAGCATCATGATAAGAACACGAGAGCAGCAGACAAATCCGAGATGAAACATGAACCTGATTGGACTTATGCAGAAGCCTCCGCGGTCTTCTCCTCCGTTGTCTTCTCCTGGGAGTCCTTCGCCTTTTCGGCTGACAGTCCCTTGGGGGAGGCCTTCTCAGACGCCTCATCTGCCAGTTCCGGGGCCTCGGTCTTCTCCTTAGCGTCCGCGTCGGTCATTTCCTCGTCCTTGGTCTCAACCTTGCTCGGCCTGGACTCCTCCTCTTTCTCAGCTTCGGCGTCACCACGAGCGGGAGTATCGACGCTATCCTCTTTGTGGACGCCGTTAGCCTTGGGCTTCTTCTTATCCTCTGCAGGGCCTGGAGTGGTATCTGCGTCGAGCACAGTTTTCCACTTAGACAGGAGATCCACAGCACGACGGCGGAACTGGAACTCTTCGTCTCGGGGAATAGAGCTAAGCTTGACGATCATCTTCAGGACCTTGTTAATCTTGGTGGAACGAATAATGGAAACCTCCAGATCCTGATAGTTTTCTAACTTGGTGAAATATCCCGACATCGACGTCATTTCTTCCTCCTGGGGAGGCTGGTCACGAGAGATGAAGCCCTTCTGCAGCTTATGGCGAACAAAGAGGACTGTTCCGTGTTAGTTAGACTTCTGCGAATGGGCAATTGACCACTGTGGAATCCATACTCTCTTTCTCTTTCTTGGCCTTAGCCTCTTCCGGGTTGATCTTCTTCTCGGGCTCCTTAGGCTCTGTAGGAGTGCTCTCTTCACCATCGTCACTAGCAGCGGCCTTGCCAGATTTCTTGCTGCTAGCAGTCTGTTTGGCCTTGCTTGGGGCAGGGGCCTTCTTCTCACTTGCCGGGGTCTTCGGGGTTGTTAGCTTCAGCTTTGTTCCGGTCTTGGGTGTCTTAGCAGGCTAGAGAGGAGAAAAGACGTATTAGTACTCTTCATACACCATTCTTTGCGGGCACCATTTGACTAACCTTCTCCTCAGTATCGGCTTCAGCATCCTTCTTCCTCTTCTTGGAGCTCTTGGGCTTTTTGGCCTCCTCATCTGCATCTCCCATATCGACATCCTCGTCGTCAATTATTTCCATGCTCTTCCGCTTGTTCTTCTTTGCCTCCTTTTCCGCCTTAACGGCCGCCTTTGCGGCCGCCTGGGCCTCCCGGTCTTCTTCTTCTTGTTCAATCGCACGCTGGTGGTCAGCCAGCACGGTTTTGAAGTGCTGAAGATCGTGACCTTCAGCAGCAACGGCATAAGCCGCTAAGAGCAATTTCGACTTGCCCTTCTCTGATACTTCCTTGCAGGTGGCGGGATCGAGCGGGGTCAGATCTGTGTTAGGAATCCAAGCACTGTTGTTGCGATTAGCCGACGCGTCCACAGAAGGGCGGGAACGAAATCCGCGACTCACAATTCGTTGGTCTCGAAGAACATGACAGGGAAGGTTCTCTCGTGAGCACGCTTGCCACCATCGGCGTAGTCCTCCCTGTAGGTTCCATCGGGTCGCTGAGCGGTTACAGGACGTGAGTCGAGAAGGGTCTGTGGGAGCACCTCTTCATCACAAACAATGGATGGCCACGGAGGGTAGCTGCGAAGGCGCGCGAGGTAGTACTCGCCTGGTTTCGCGTGCAAGTTGGTGATACGAGCCTGCGACTTCTTCCGACTCAACTTTGATTTGTGTTCCGGTATGGCGCCGGTAGATTTGCGCTTTGAACCTCCGGACTTCTTAGCCGACGCGGGGGCACCGTTAGCCTCGGGGGCTGGTGCAGCACTCTCTTCAGGCTTTTTCACATCAACAGAGTCGGATGCGCTGGGGTTTTCAGTCGACGCTTCATCTGACTTCTTCTTCTCCCCGGGGGCAGCCGCATCTCCTAAGGTAAACCAGACAACATAGATTAGCGTAAGATCTAACTACACGCTTCCGCGAAACATGGGGGCGACAAGAAAAAATATATGCAGTGCTTACCAGATGACTTTCCCTCTGATCCATTGGCCTTTTCCTCCTTCTTCTCGGATGCCTCTGGTGTTGACTCCTTGGGCTCGGCAGGAGCGCGCTCGACAGACTCATCAGCGGCAGGCGCCGAGGCGGCAGGGGTATCTTCAGCCATGGTGCGCGACAAAGCTTAACAAAAATTAGATGGAAAGCAACTCCACCTGGTGTTCGTAGGGGCTAGATGGTGGCAATGGACGAGGTGGTGGAAAGGTCAAGGTGGATGTGGGTGAAGAAGTGGTGGAGAAAGGTCGCGACGGAGGCGGGAAGTTGATTGACAACGCGTGCACTTCCTTTTGCCGGGTAAAAAAGCGCTGCTAGACCGCGAATGACGCAACGCTCAACGGCAACAACAACGAAATGAAATGATGCTGGAAATTCCACAACTTGTGTTATGAGTTGCTTCTTAGACACCCGAGTCGGTCTGGAGTCAATTATAGCACCGCTTAGGATGGAAGTTCGTCCACGTAGAACCAGTAGATCTCGGAAGTAGACGCGACTTCAGTCGTTAGGACGGAAGCAAAGCCTGATCACGAGAGCTTGCCGACGTTCTGCATAGACTCAAAATGCGCGACCGGCGATAGAGTCGCGATGATGACGAGGGTGGTGGTGATAATAGGATAAACGACGCGCGATCCAACAGCGATCGATGATATCCCCCGTCAACGCGAAGCTGCACAATCGACTGATACAGCTGCAGCGGAGGGTCCGGATAAAGCGACAAGGCTTCAGATATTTTCGATCTCCGTACCAATAGTTAAAATGAGATGAGAAACGAAGCGCAAACTCACACCTCGTAACGATAGTTGATGGATGCGGGGAGAAAAAGCAACAGCAGCCCAATGAAGGCAATTTGATGCGACAATGTCCGGTCAATAGAAATAACCTGGCAAATCTCCTTAGTACACGATTCAACCTAATTAAAGTGTTTGAGGGTACGGGGCTTCAGTGAATTCTATGAAAGAATGCATGAATGAATGACCGACTAACCTTGTGCCACAATAACAAAACCAACAGTAACACCTGAGAGGAATGATGGCAATAGATAGAAACCCCGCGAATACAAAATCGGTCTGACTTTATTGCGACCAGCGGAGGGGAGGAGTAAGATAAGTTGTTATAGAAGGGGGGCAAATGTCTGGTGCAGCAAAAGAGGAGTTAATCAAACTGAATGTTCCCCGTGAATCGTCATTCAAGCATGTTCCGGCAAGTCAACCAATATGTTGTGTTGCTTGTTGTACTCTGTACATACAAAAATAATTCTTGGGATATGAATAATACTTCTCTTGATATTTATCAAGTCGCTTCCCTTCTTCCTTGGTCTAGAAAGGAATTAGAAAGAAAAGGAAAAACAACTGGGATTTGGGATATGACGATATTTATTTATCTTCCTTGCTTTCCATGGGTAGAACTTAGCCTACCTTTGCTCGGACATAGTATCAATGTACATAGGTCCCCCGGTACTTGAAATTTTGCATATATATTGAAAAATAGAGTGGGTGAGGATAAGAAGGCCATTTGTAGGCTTTACCCATAGAATCACGCCTTGTACCCATCGTATCTATAAACCGCAAGATCATTAGTAGGCTCACGCACGACCTTGTCGTTCTATAAATATCACTGTCAATATGCCATACCAAACACCCTCCCATTCCAGCCTCTAATACTTAAAAATATGTGTAGATGCAGAGATACATGAATAAATACAGGCACGGGTATGTGTCGACCCTCTGGAGGGGATTAAAAAAAAAGTATAAATATTAACAAATTTTCCGTTCAAAACGCCAATCCGTATCTGAACCAGTTATGGCGACTGGCCATAGCCCTCTTCTACCGCCACCACAACCACCACAGCAATGTCGTCGACTTTCCCGCCACGGTACCAGTCACCGGGATAATACCGCT